TCAAAGGGAATATAGAAAGATATAAAGCATGACTTGTAGCAATATGCTTTACGCAAAGAGGAAGAATAGATTACGATGAGAGTTTTCTCTCTAGTCTTATGTAAGGATTCTTTTTAGAATCATAATGGTGTTAATGGCATATTATGATTTAGAGTTTTCTCTCTAGACAGTAGTATTTGAAGTTGATGAAATGATAAGAAAGTTTAGGTTTTTAAAGAAAATAAGAAGGACAGTAACGTTTATGCGAAGTTCAAGAATGGAAGATTCATTTTCCACATCCTGTGAATAGATGACATTCTACTCACTAGTAGTGATGTTAATCTGTCATTGAAGAAGAAGTTTTGTCCTCAAGTTTTAATACGAATGATCTTAGTGAAGCGTCATTGGTTCTAGGAATCGAAATTCACTGAGATAGATAAAAAATGGGGTATTAGGATTATCGCAAAGGCATACTTAGAAAAGATTCTAAAGAAAAAAAATATGCATGCGAGTAAACCTACGCTCTGCTCCTATAGTCAAGGGTAATAGATTTGGGAACTTTAAGTGTTCCAGGAACCGATATGAGATCGATCAAAAGAATATGGTTCCATATGCTTCAACTGTTGAAAGCTTGATGTGTGTACAAGCACAAGTAAGAACTTACCCTGACGTAGTTTATGTATCCGGGATATTTTGGCAGAAGTCCAGTTTAGATATAGATAACTGGAATTGAGTTGAGAATGTCTTGCAATTTTGCAAAGTATAATAGGCCTCATGCTGAGTAGGAAAGAATAAGTGCTCTCAAATAGTTGAGGGTACAAAAAGTTAAGTCTTGGCGAGATGTGTAGTGAAATTCACAGCAGTTGCTAACACTCGTAGTTGGAGTATTATTGTGGAAAAGCTCCAAAGAAAGCAGTTGTGGTGTCATCAGTGATGCATACCATAGTATAGCTTATCATGAGGCTTAAGAAACAGGCAAAAGGAGTTTAAGGGAATTTGTACCCGGATTTAACAATGGTAGACAACAACAATAACCATTTGAAGTAAGTTAACTCCTAAGACAACAAGTCAAGTGTGCTGCCAAACACATTGACACTAAGGTATATATTGTAAAGGAAAAAATCCAGAATCATTTTGAAAGCATTAAGCACATAAGTACCGAGTAAGTACTTGTGCATCCGCTTACCAAAGGCTAACCACCCAGTACTTTCAGAGAACACATGGTCGACATGGGTTTATGGGAAAGCCTATGAGTTCTGGATACTAAGGGCCTAGTTGAGTATCTGTTTCAAAATAGAGAGGTGTATTGTAGCTGTTAAATCTAATGGCAACTGACCGTAACGATGGGGCACGCTCTATGCACTAATATGTGATAGAATGGGAACAAGATAAGTGAGTAAGTTAAGTTTAAGTCATAAGGTGAGATCAAGGGAGAGAATGTTAGTTTGATCTCCAACGATTGGCCTAACGGCCAATCGGACCCCTTGACCTCATCCTGATCGGGGACGCTTAACCGACCACTAGTCGGTGGGCCCCTGTCACACAGCGCTTTAAGTAAAGAGAAAGGTGGGGGGCCAGGGCACTCAAGACAAGGTTCTCCGCCGCCACTAACCCACCAAAAAAACCCTAGAAGGCCCCATGCGATCGCGGGTGCGCTGCAGTGACGGGAAGCACCGCTAGATGCGTCGTCGTCCTCAGGACTCCACCATGCCTACTCTGCTACGACACCGGCAGCCACTACGCTGCGACGTTATGGCCGCAACTGCCCTAAGACGAGGTACATCACCAAGTTTCTCCATCTAAATTAAGTTTATCCCTTGATCTACGATTTTAGAGGTACTATGATCTATCAGCTTGGTCATACATGTCAATGTCACGCCATACAGAGAGAGGAAAACGAAGTACTGTTAGGCTAAGTAGCCATGAAACTAGAAGGCTTTTGCACCGTGGGAATGTGGAACAAGAAACAAGACCACGCTCTATGTTTTCAGCTGTTAAGGGACTCAGCACAAGAAAAAAATACAACTATATATATATAATGAGTGGATTTTTTTTTTTTTGAGAATCGGCAAAATTTATAATGAAGCTTACGTTTGCGTCTGTGATGAATTGATCGACAAAAAAAGGACGCGGATAAGCCGCGACTGGTCGCGCTCGGAGGATAGCGCGCGACCCCAGCCCACGTGCGCAATTCTCAGACAACAGCGTTATCCCAGCCCCCCGCTCGCAACTTCAGTCTGGCTGCAAAATTCCGACCAGCCTGCCATGCTGACGATAGGCTGACGCAAAACCAAAAAAGCAAAATATTTTTCTTTGAATTGCTATAACTTTTGAATATTATATCCGTTTTTAATTTCGTCACCGGTGTGTTTTACGTGACGAAACGAACAAAACTAGACCCTGCTTACATATGTTTCGATGAATTTTATTTTAATAGCAATTTATATATAATACGTGCTATGAGATTTCTCAAAGCAGATCCTAACATGTAATGCTAAAGTTGCTATTTCAAAAATATACTAAAGTTGTCACATAGTATACACAGGCTCGGGAAAATAATTAAAAGGAGTTCCTACCATATAATACTAAAGTTGCTACTCCAAAAATACTAAAGTCGTTACATAGTATGCACAAGCTGGGGAAGGGAAAAATATACTAAAGTTGTCACATAGTATACACATGCTCGGGAAAATAATTAAAAGGAGTTTCTACCTATAATACTAAAGTTGCTACTCCAAAAATACTAAAGTTGTTACATAGTATGCACAAGCTGGGGAGGGGGCAAAAAATATCAAATGAGTTACTACCACGTAATACTATAGTGTATAACTATAGGGGCACATTATTAAAGTAAGCATTGCATAAGTTGTCAACTAGGGGGCAAGTTATTATACAACTAGCTCAAATCTGCTTCTCTTTTCCGCTCGAATATGCCGGCAGCCACCCCCACTCCATCGATCCAAATATACTCCTCTTCGCCGATTTGCTCCTCTTCCTCGCTGATTCGCTGGTACATACAAGCTATTTTAAAACACATGCATCGTAGTCTTATTTCATAGATCTCATCACAAGTGGCTCAATAGTACAAACAAGTAAAAAAATGAAAAATAATGGAAAATGATAAATAAGTTGCTACATACTTAATACATAAGTTGCTACACGTTTGCAAGTATATATAGTTTGTTGGAAGGTTAATATATAAGTTGCTACAAGCTTAATACATAAATAGCTATTATATATATAACATAAGTTTCCGGTATATACAAACTATTTTGAAACACATGCATCGTAGTCTTATTTGTTGGGCTTTGCACAAAAAAAGTAGAGTAAAAACAAATCTCATTTGTTGGGCTTGGGCCTTGGTTAGGGCCAGTTCCCAAGGGCATAAACCCATTTGTTAGGCTAGGGCCTCACTAGGCTGTAATGGGCCTCATTTACGTATGATGCACAATACGCATAGAGCCTGCCTGATGAACTTTTCAGCCCAGCTATGTATCTCCCTCTGTCCCAATAATGACAGGACCATCAAAAAAAAAAACGAGGGCTTTTCGGCTCCGGCGACGGCGGCCGTGGCTTCCTTCTTCGGCGATCACCGTGCTGGGCAGCAGCAGCAGCTCCACCAAACGCCCCAGGTCAAGTCACCCCTCTCCTCTCCTCTTTTTGGTTTTCCTGTCAAAGTGTCAAAAACAGGGGGCTCTGCGCTGTCCTCCAAAACCGTACTGATTGGTCATCGTTTTCTCCGCTCCACACACACACACATCGGCCGGCCATAGCAGAGGCGAACAAAAACGCCGCATTCTTCCGGCGTGGCAACAGCACATACTCCAGTGTGGTGTGAAGTGTGAACCTTTCGTCACCTTTCAGTGAGACCAATGGCCAACCTACCTACCTAGGGGCTAGGGCCTCGTAGGATATGTACTTCTGGCCACAGAGCAGAACCACCCAATTTTAACACATAGCAGGGCCACCCAATTTTAAGTAGCTTCCAAATCGACTAGGATGTTTATGTTTCCTCCGGTCCACCAATTATATATTCAGTCAGATGTTTACTTATTCTTGTGGTTTTTGAAGAGCTTGCTTAATTCTAGGGTATAAAGTTTTGGGGTATCACATCGGGTGTCACATGAGGGTGCCGCATGGGGTATTCAGATACTAATAAAAAAACAAATTACAGAATCCGTCAGTAAACCGCGAGACGAATTTATTAAGCCTAATTAATTAATCCGTCATTAGCACATGTATTACTGTTGCACCATATTGTCAAATCATGGTCTAATTAGGCTTAAAAGATTCGTCTCGCAAAGTAGTCGCAATCTGTGCAATTAGTTATTTTTTAGTCTATATTTATTACTATATGCATGTGTCCAAATATTCGATAGAATAGGGTGTAAACTTTTGGACGATGAACTATACAACGCCTAAGTTCATTCAGTTCAACTACATACACTGGATCAAGTCAAGTCAACGAGACATGGGATGGGACAATATAATTAACCATCCAGATAGCTACTAGGCTGCAGCCTGTATGCATGGAGGATGTAGCAAAGCTTGACAGGTGTCATATCAATGTCTGAAATTCTGACTAACTATCGAGTTTTTCTTGACTGCATACCATTTGTCATGCTAATTATTACTATTTCCCATGTCTCTAATGCTCTCCATCAAAAGTTAACAAGTTATAAGCTAGTTCTATTAATTCCAGGACACTTTACCTGTTATGAAGACTTTGCAGGATGTGTTTTACAGAGGCTGGGAATGGGATGGTTACAATTACAGGAAAGTTTAGATATTAGTACATCAACATTCTAGCTTGTGGGACACAGCATTTACAACTTTTAAGCCTTAATTTCTGCCCACTATTTACTTTCTGCAGATCCATTTTCTTTGCTTATCACACATATTATACTCTAAAGGTAACATACTTGTGTCCCTTTCTTGTCACAACTCATGAAGCAATGGCTGTCTGCGTACGAACGGATTGATGTACACCTTCAAAGGAGTTCCTTCCCATCATTTCTTCCTTACGCCCATATATCTTCAGGGATCATCATAGAGGTAACCTCAAGTGCCCCTGCCATTTCAATATCTGTGAAATCTATCAAATATTCTGGCGTGCTTGGCACCATGAATAAGTTTTCAAAGCTTTCATCTTGAATTCCAAGGACATCATTATGAACAACTGTTGACCCACTAATGCTTTGGTTATGATTGACAATTGGTGCACTATATCTTGTTGTCTCAACAACATATGGATGGATTATGTCATCCTTCTTGCAAATGTGCTGGCCGTAATAGTCAACATCGAACAACCTCACTGTTCCAGCGCTTCCATCTGATTCCTTCTGTTGAACTGTCTTAGTTGCAAGACACCCTTGGTCTTTACTATTGGCACATCTATAGTAGCTCCTGATTAAGCATGACATCATTATATATTTTTTATTATACACAAAAGGCAAAATATTATACATCCACATAGATGAAATATGTATGGCTGCAATTTTTTTTTTCTCAAAAACGTATGGCTGAAATTTTCAGCTACAATATATGTGCACAAAGCTAATCATCCACACCTTTTTTTTTTGAAAGGGGCAAAAGCTTTGCCGCAAATTTTATTAGAAGAAAACATAAAAAAGGTGTCAGTGTAGTTTTTTGAGTGGAAACCGGGCAAAAAACCACCCGACTAGAATACAACATGAGAATCCAAATTCAGTATAGAAAATATTATATATATATGAAGTACATCAATACATATGTTTTATTACATACCTAGAATGCTTTGCTTTGGAGATCCACTTCTGTCCATACTTCCTCCATTGATATCCATCAAAGTGTGGTGCTTGTGTCACAACTGAACCTGTGTGTTGTGCATTCTTCCTAAGAGAAGGGATAAATATTTTAAGCACCACAGTAAATGATATATAGGTAAACATATATATGCTCTTTTGCTATATACCTTCTCTTATTTCCAATTTGTTTAGCTTCCTCCCCCAACATGTGACTATCCACGTTATTCTTGCTACCTTTTCTTCTATATTTGATAAGATCGGCCTGTTTCTTACTGTTATCACCAAGTTCGAGAAAGGAGATAACCTTACTTGAGGAACTGAATATATCTTGAAAGAGTTGCTGCGCAAGCTTCTCCTGCCTACTACAGGGATCAAGTGTTGGTAGGATAAGGTTATGTAGCTCCATCACGAGGGCCCTTTGGTGTTCAATCTCATTGATCACCACTTGGCAGCCACTATGAGTGGAAGATTCAAAGATGTTCATTTGATGCTTTCTCAAATATATGTGGCTATAATAGTTGGACTTTGGAGCTGAAGGTGCTAGGTATATGCAGCTTTAGGCATCTATTTATACATGCAAGTAACATCACACAGTATGAGCATGGTGGAGGGAATGGATCATTTTTTCAAATTTTCTCACTGGAAAAGACTAGGGAGTGTGTCCCTATCCATCAGTAGTATGGTAGAACTAAAGGTGTCATTCAAGATCCTATTTTTCTCAGACTGATGCATAAATATACAAAGATCATGATCATTACGTAATTTTCATTCGATGCACATGTTTAATTACATTATGTGTGATGGGCCTAGGAGACACATTTGAAGTAGTACATAGTAATCACAACCAGAATTTTAGACTTCTCCTAGTGTTTTAAAATTTAGTATAAACTTTCCCTGTTAAATGTCTCCTAGTGTGGATTTCCATGTGCTATCACTAGTGGTAGTGGTTTAATATTACTTAAAAACACTACGAGAATTCCACTATTTTAGTAGTGAATGTTATTATAAGGTCAGATGATGATTATTAAATTAATGCCACACTAGTGGTACTAGTGTTTTAAATTGTTGGAGGAAGATAAGTTAGTATGAACTTAACTGTTGATCGTCAGATGATAAGGATTATTGACATATCTAATGCATAAAAAATGCAACTGATTTATTCATGTATAGAATATAATAGAGGTGATGCATAAAAATTACATTTGTAAGAAAATTGCTGTCCCCATAAGTTATTTGATGTGTGAATAAGCATTTTTGTTAGGTCACTTGTTTAGCTTGAAAATCGCCGACTAGTTTGTCATTAGTTTTTATTCCTGTGGTCGACAGTTGTGATACAACCAAAGACTTGGCTAATCATGCAGGATCGACGGCGGTGTCTATATCGCTCACATGGCGTAGACACTCATGAAAGGAAACATGTACATGGGCAATAATTCTAGAGGCTGTTATAGGGAGCAACGTTGCTGTAACTACACCGGCCGTAGGACAGGGACATGCTTGGTTGGACTCTAATAATGGTAAATGACACCTAGTTATTTGGAAATGAATGCAAAATAAACTAGCTAGTTAATTTCATCTTTTACATAACAGATGTGCTATGATGAAGTAGGTTATCATCATTTATCATCGGTTCAAACTTTAAACTTTGTGTAAGATAAAATCATTACATGAAATTCAATTTATGTTAATCCTCATACATGCATGAGAAAAGTACTGCTGGTACACAGGAAGCCTGTTGAATAATTAAATTAAACAGTAAGTGATTGTCAAAAACATGCTGAGAACCATGAAAATTGAATGTTATGTGTTCAAAGATCATAGATACTTCATAATATGAACATGTACTGATAGTTCCACTCAGACGAACCATGGCCTTGAACTAGTTTTGTTGACCGCCATGCATCATTATCAACCAAAACAAGAGAACAAAATTAAGTGATATGTGGTGAATCCTTCAGGATTCCTGAGCACCACATGAATGCCATACGTGTAAGCCAAACATACCAATTGATTGCGACAAAAGATAAGGGAATTGCTAGTTATAAAGAAATTTCCCTACATGAAGAATAGCGTACAACAGTTCTTTCTCACATAAGCCAAAGTTGGTGCGCGCACACACACAAAAAAAAAAAAAAAAAAAAAAATCTGCCATATAACCACTGACTGCCGATGCTTCCAACTTTGAGACTCAAATCTCAAAATTAAACGTTGAAACAGTTCCAACTCTTCACAGGTATACCTTAACCTTTTCATAGCATAAGCTTAGCTGGTACAACAAGGGGTGGATGAGCTTGACTACATAGATAACAGTTGGTGCCAAAAACCTGTGGCCACTCCGTCCAATATCAGCATGAGGCACTTGTCCAGCAGGCATGGGAGTGATGATGAATGGATGACAATGAGCGGAAGAAAACTTTGTACTGTGTTTCCAAAGATTCTAGTAGCACAGCAGGAAGGACAATTGGAGGTCGTCCCTTCTTCCTGGCCCAACCTTGAGGGAAGAAGGCTTTTGTAGGATTCTAGGCTATAGCAGCTCAAATATGTGATCTTTGCGTATATTAGCTCGCTTACCTACCCGCACAGGTAACTCAAGAACTTAACTTTTACATACACAATTTTATATACTAACTCGATCTTGAAATATAAGATAACCAAGAATTCAAAAATATATCTCAAATTATAAAGGATTCTAGGCTCCAATCACATGCTACCTAGTTGCCATAAGTGTTTATTGTCAACCCAACCACTGAACCACCAGGCTCAAATATGGTAAGCATAATATCTCCCTACTTTTTAAGGGAGAGTCAACATGTGTCTTTTGCTTTCCTATAATATATTCCTTGGATACCTTATATTTCAAGATGGAGTGAGTATTAACTAGTAATAAAATATAACATTCCTCAAAAGAAACCAAAATATTCCAATTTAAGGATCATTGGCTTTTGTCATTATATCTCATATTTGTGTCACAGTGTGACATATGCATGCATGGTTATTCTTTTGGTTGCAGACTTCCAGTTAGTTTAACTGTATTTTGTACAAGGATGATGCCCACAACGCCCCTTTCTTCAATGGTCACAGCTCAAGATTCAGAATGACTTTGTCCATTACCCTTTGTGCCGTTTATTTAGAAAGTAACGTGTGCCATTACAAATGAATAACTCCTTACTCTCAATGACATGTTAGAGCTTAATTAAAACGCAAGAAGCATATACCTTAGTTTACTACTTCCCATTTGCTGGATAGCTAGACATACGTATATGCTAGTTGATGTAGTTTACAGAGTCATTGTCTTGCTTGGATCCCGTCAGGTGTTTGGTTATCTAGCGTTATAGTATTAGCAAGTCTGATGCAAGTAACAGCTATACTTATTGTGCACTGAACTCCCTCTACTCCCAAGAGATAAGCCAACTTGTGCACTGAACTCTATACTACCACTTCATGCATACATGTCCCTTTTCCAAATTCTGGTTGCAACATCAATTCCATCTACAACTGATCTCGTATGCACGTGCAATGAGAGCATACACGACAAACTTGTGGCGGCTGCGGGGTCAACATACCCAGTTTATAAATACTTTCAATGATCATCAGCGGCTCTGTACTTGTGGTTAGTTTGCATAATTATGTGTATAGTTGCTTGCTATTGCAATGCATGACTCTGAACATATGATTTCCATATTAAGGTTGTGCTGATATTCCGGAATGCGGCAATCACAAGGATACTCTATTGTGAGAATCCAATACCTTCAGACTGGTATCTGATTCTAACAAGATCAGACAAATTGAGTCTGTTTAATCTACTCCCTAACTTTCACAAAGACTTGTCACCCTATATATATTGTACCAGTATACTTTTCACTTGTTTTTTTAATGGATGGCCATGAGACTGTCTATTTCATTGATAAAGAAGAAGTTTTTACATATCAGCAAGAACCAGAATAAAAATAAATAAATATTCTCATGCTATAGAGCCACTAAATGTTTTGTCCTTTCTACCATCCAAAGCCATGTTTCCTTCTTTATTTTCGCTACCAACGCACTAGTTGGGGACTCGCTGTACTGGAACTCTCTCAAGTTTACTTCCTTTCCTGCCAGCCATGATCCCTCCCTCCCAGATCCCGCCGCCACCCTTGCACCTGTTCTTCCTCGACGCCCCCACTCCTACCACGTCGTTCTCCAGTCAAAATCCAGGTACACCTACTTATCACTTTTCAGCACTATTTCTCTTTTTCTTTCCTTTATTATCTCTCTCCTTCCCACACTGTTCCTAAGATTTATTTCATATCATGCAGGTCAATCACTATTTCATTCATCGATATACCAATTATGAGGCATCACATCATAGGTTTGAACCCACAAGTTGATGATGTAGTTAAAGATCATAAAAGTAAAAGCTGGTGTAATAATGCAATATAGATTTTGTTGCTTGGATCCCTTGTTCGATGGAACGGAATCTATTCAACCAATGGTAAGCACGCCTCCTCTTACACATAAGCATTATAAGTACTACATTCAGTTTTTTTTCCGTATATATGTATTTAGAGATTGAGTTTGATGCAAGTTATAGCAGACATATTTGAAATCCAGAACGCGACTCTATTAGTAATAAGAAGGTGGGGATCCCATGCATTCCAAATGCCAGCTGATTCCTAGCAGGGCGACGCCTCTCAGTTATTCCGTTTACAGTTATGGTTGAGAAAGGCCGATTAATTTCAACCTGCAATTCATGAACTTAATACTCTTCACACCCTCCAACTCTCAAGACTACTATGAGTTTACGTCCCGATCAGCTACAATTAACAAAGTTGGCAAATTAGGAAAAACAAAAATAGGACACCACAAATCAACATGCAGCATTGTTTTCCTGCTGATTTATATGGAACATTATATTGTTGAGAGAAAGAGTCATATACATTCAGCCTAGTTAGTGGGGTCATAGAGTTCCTCTTAGTTTTTCTATCCACATGACACCATGCCATGCATATGAAAATCGTGCATTCATGCTGGGACCTGCTTTTGTTCTAGTAAGGGGCTCTGTTTTTTTTTTCCATAATGGGCGAATCTGAATTTCATAACTTTCGCAATGAAATTACAACCACCCGACTGCTCAAGTTCAAAACGACCACAGCAGCACAGGGGATTCTGTGACTGTTTCTATCACCAGATAACACTCAATACTACAAGTTGAAATCCAAAGCTAGGTTCTGTTTTTGAGTCCTCTGGGAAAAAAGGGGCTCTTTTTTTCTTTTACAAGTTGAGAATTGCACCCATACTATACAGTTGAAGGCTGTAAATACTCTGTTTATTACCACTCTTCATTCATACTATATCAGCTTATCAATTGATCACTAGCTTTTCATCGATATATATATGTGAATTATCAGGCTCCAAACCTTAAGAATGCATCCAACTCCCAACTGTCCAAATCCAAAGGTTCAAACACAGTCATGTCGAATGGCTCATACATGCTGTTCCTTGTGATCAAGTCTGCAGATTTGTCGAGCGGCTTATTGCCATCTAGGGATGTCTCAGGGACATACGGATCTGTACAAATTGTCGATATGCTGGATTGGCTGTTTGTTTCAGAGTCATCGGTGCCTGAGTTGATGCCATTGTTGTCCTTGCAAGTATGCTGGGCGTGCAGTGGCGGACCCAGCAGGTAGCATGGGTAGGCCCAGGACTACCCACAAATTTGGCCCAAAATTCTATTACTACTTTTCAGAAACTGGTCCACGGTCACTCTCGTCTCAGTATAGGCCGAAGACACCGCAAATCCACGAGCTCTTCAAAAAAATAACGCACCCGAGAGGGATCGAACGGGAGACCTCGTGCCTCGGGCTGCAACACGCTTACTAGTCCAGCCACGAAAGTTTATTGGATAGGTAATACCCGCAACTTTATTTAATAAGGAAAACAGGAAAAATACCCTTAATTAATCACTCCCCGGTATTCTAAATCATATCCTAAACGACTTTCTTTACCATTTTAAATGTATTATCGTAATTTGGTTAATTTATAGCTATGTTTGTCAAACTTTTTATTTGGATTTTATAGTATTATATATGAAATTATTTTACCAGGACTACCCTGGTCTCAGATCCTGGGTCCGCCACTGTGGGCGTGGTAGACGACTGTGAACATCACGGGATGATCAGTGCCTGTGCTGTCATCATCTTGCTGTTGTACCGTCTTTGTTGCTTTACAGCCCTGTTCCTGCCTGTAGGCGCATGTGTAGTAGTTTCTGCATATATGTGTAATTGATTTAGTGATCTATTATAGATTTGCAGTATTATTAGGTTTCTGCACAAGCACATGATTTAGTGATTAGTTTTTTTTTTCATGTGAACTTCATTCGCTGCTAACTCTAGTAACGAGTGAGCGCATAATAAGAGTCCAAGATCTGGTCTTGATATTATTCGTCACATGCATATGATGTTGTGTTGATTCCTTTCTTTATGATGAACCTTGTTAATTCATCGATAATGATACGCCACAGGTGTCCGTCCTGTCCAGACAGACCGCTACGCGTGCTCCGCCCGCGAGCAATTGCTCGCTCCCGCCCATGCTCTTATCCACCTCGCCCGTCACAGAAGAGGAGGCAGGGGGGCCTGCGCCTGCACCCCCATCCACCTCACGCCGTCGGCAGGAAGGTAGGCCGTGATCACCGGCGATGTTGTGTTTTCATGTGTTTTAGGCGTTTTCAGACATGTTGCAAGCCTATGTTTCAAGTGTTCCAGATGTTTCAGACTTCTGTTTCATCTGGATGTTGCATATGTTGCTATGGCTATACATGTATGTTTCAAGTGTGTGTTTTAAATGTTTCATATGTTTTCAGACTTATGTTGCAAATGTTTCATCTAGATGTTGCAAAAGTAGATCTAGATATTGCATATGTTGCTATGGCTATACACGCATGTTTTAAGACCATGTTTCAAGTGTTTCATCTGTTTTCAGACGTACGTTGCAAGTGTTTTATCTGGATGTTGTATATGTTGCAAGTGTATGTTCTGAATGTTTTATCGGTTTCAGACGTATGTTGCAATTGTTTCATTTGAGTGTCGCAAAAGCTAATCTGGATGTAGGTTTGGAGGAAGCCTAAGTGGAGGCCGTGTACATGAGAGCGGCGAGGACGGGATGCCGCAGCGGATCGGTCGGGATGTGGAGCGGGATGGGAGCGGGCGCGGCGCATTGGGTGGGATGGGACATGGGTCTCCATGCTGCGTGTGTTGGGCGCAGGAGCGGGAAGCTCCGTCCGGACCGATGATGCCTCCGGAGCAAGGATGGGCGCGCGAGGCGTGCGTCGGGCGCGGGGCATGCATTGGGCGCAGGTCTAGTCATGCATCGGGCGCAGGCGCGGGAGCAGCTAGCGTCCGTACAGAGGCCGCGTCCGGACGTCCGGCCCTAGTCCCTCCTTTAATTCATACATCCTCAGGTGTGTTTTAAAAGAGAAAGAAATCAAAGAGTCCCAGAAGTACACCACCAAGGAGAGCTAGATGTCCCTTCAATTAAGAAGGAAAAATATACCTTGGGTGTTTTGATTTGTTGATGTGCTTCTGCCCGTATTTCCTCCACTGCCGTCCATCATAGTGTGGAACGGCGTTTCAAGTGACATCGACTCAACAAATCTCCTGCTCGAAAAAGTAAATTTGTTTGCAAATAAAAGAATCAAAATCAATAGAAAGCTTAATCCCATGCTCACATAATTAATACATATACAGAAGCATTATAAACAAAAAAAAGCAGTAGTTTTACTCATCAATTGATGTTGGAAAATGCATGCATACCCTCTCTTGAGCTGCTGATGACGCGGCTTAACAACATCATCCTCCTTGCTGACACCCTCCTCCTTCCTGATGCAGTCATCAGAGATACTCCTCTTCACTCTCTTCTTGTCATCAACCAGCACATCATCTGGTTGAGCATCATCATCAGACTGATGACGCTGCAGCTCGGCCATGGCCTTGCTGGAGCAATCCAGTATGCTCTGGAACATCTGGGCAACAAGCTCGTAGCGTTCGTCCGCCTGCTGCAGCGCAGGGAGGACGATGGCTCGCAGCTGTGTCACCAGAGACTGCTCCCTGGAGATCTCCTTCATCGCCGACCGGTGGTCGCAGTCGCAGGCAAGAGAGTGGCGACCAGAAGCTGAAGATTGAGGAAGACATCTGCAGTTGTCATGGTGGTAGTGGTGGTGCTTCATCTCTGCTAATTTCATTCTAGCTCAGCTCGATCTGGTATTCTGGTATCTGAACTGCAGCTTGTTCTGTAAACTTCAGGTTCCTTCAATCCCTTGTGTGTGCAGCTTTCGGAGGAAGAATGAAGGGAAGATTAAGTGATAAAGTTACTCCTAATCGGCTGTACTTATATATGGAGATGGCAACATAATTAACAACCAACTTGGGCAGAATAAATTAAATTCGGCTGTGCCTGCCTGCATGCGTAGGCAAGAGCGGAGTAGCGCATGGAGATGGACAGGAAGGACTTTGACTTGGCAGCTACCACGCACGATTACGAGATGAGTATGCAATTAATTAGATGCTACGTACAGTCCTTGTCAATGGCACTCCTGGCACTTGGATTGGCTAATTTCGTCGTAGTCAAGTCGTTTGTGTTCCACCAGCTATTGCCTTCTCCCAAAACAAACAAGCCTGGTCAGTAAGCAGTCGCCTGCTCAGTTCTCACCTGACCTTTATTTTCACCTTTACTGTTCTGTCCTCAAATGTCATTCTCAGTCCCTTGGAATCAAAAGAACAAGTGCTCGCTGGGGCATTGATCTGAGGGTGTTTCTCCTTAAGAGCTAGTTTGAATAAGCAGGAATTGTTCATCTTAACTTCTGACCAGAAAAGTCCATTGTCTATAAGGGTGTTCTTTTTTGCATCCAAGTTCAAATATGAAATGAACCACAAATAATTGCATCCATCTCAGCACTATCTGCATACTCTGCATACTAGATGTAGGAAGACTAGCTAGAACTGGTTTCATGTAGATGGTTGTTATAAAAAAAATGCAGATGGGTGTATAGAGTACATTGCTTGAGCATCTTGGCTGGTTATATATAGAGTACATTGCTTAGAGGGCAAGTAGCTTATCCTAGATAAGGCAGGTGTCCTCGGACTAAAATCAATCATAATCTACCGTATATGGAGAAGGGGAACTAACATAGGAATATCCAAATATACTCTAACACTAGATATTCAAAATATTCACATGCGACATATTAAGAGCTAATCATTCTGCTCATCATGTTTGACAGAAGCAGACTCATGTCAGCACAGAGTCGTCAGTCGTCACCCACTCGCCCTCCTAAGCATCATTTCGTGTAAGCTCAAAAGTTCCTCTAAATTTCACTGGTGCTATTTGTAGAAATGCTCGTTGGTCCACATTGTTGGCGACGTATTAACAATTCACTAATGGTTTATTCCATAGTGTATTACTTGTTCCAAGAGCACTGAATTCTTAATTGTAGTCAACAATGAGACATAATTTTCCAAATCATATTGTTCGTTTGTGCCGACCACATACATAGGGCTAGCTTTTGACATTATTTTCCATGAAACAGATCGAAGACCGAGATGACAAGGTGAAGTTGTTATTGTGATGATGAGTGATTATCAAGCAAGATGAAATCCTTTCAATTGAGTTGTTCTTGGTTATGACGAACAGGAGGCCAAGTGGTGGCGCTGCACCGCGTGTCTTTAATTTAGGTGTGTGTATATATATGTGTGTTGAAAACCTCTCGTCCATGACGAGGGAGAAGATCAAGCAGTGGTTCATGCCCACATGTAACACTGGCGGTGAAGGGCGGACAAAAAACATCAACAACATTTCCATTCATAACAAAAATAGCATGTTCGAAGCGAATTCCCACTTTCTTTTCCCATTACGTCAAAGCAAGTTTTATACAGTAGTCAATAGCCATAGTAAGAAGATTGAGTCGACGCAAACATCGCTTCATTGTTTCCTCGCATGCATTTGCTAGGTGATGATTAAACCACGACTTATTTCTCCAACAAAATACAAGATGTACTATGCAGCTAACAACAGAACATCGAAGATTGCAAAAAATATATCAGACATTCAGACTCAGACGGACGGAACAATAATCGTCCCTTCTCCTTCCCTACTGACAGCCTGCGCGGGGAGCTGCAGATCAGTGCCAGCAGCGGGCGGCGGGTCCTGCGTCGACGCCGGCGCCACCTCCCCTGCTGCAGGCTCGGTGTGGTCGGAGGGGAGGCGGCAGCGGCAGATGGGGCAGGAGTTGTGCACCTCCAGCCACGGCACGATGCAGGAGGAGTGGTAGAGGTGGCCGCACGGGAGCCTCCGCGCGGCGGCCGCGAAGGGGAGGTCCTTCTTGCAGATGGCGCAGACCGCGCCGGGCTCCGACACCTCCACCGTGGGCAGAGCCTCGATGGACGCCGCCGGCGCCGGCGCCTCGCCGCCGCCGCTGCCGCCGAGGACGACCCAGGGCGCGAACAACGCGGGGGCCGGTGGCATGGATATGATGATGGGACCACGACCACGACGACGCTGCCTTTCCTCCCCGCCGTAGGTTTGGTGGTGGATTTCGATGACGAGGTCGTCGTCAACATCGTCGTCCGAGGACGAGGACCGGTCAGTCGGCAGCAATAACTCCTGCGCCGGCGGAGGTGACGACGAGTCGGACATGGCCGGCCCTCTCGGTTTCGCTCTCACTTTCTTGGGGCCTCCGGCCGCCTTGTGTGGCATCATTTATCTTTGTTGTGCACTCGTGCAAGGGAGCGCCTGCTTGTTCTTGCTCTCGTCGTCACTCTCGTGTCGTCTGGCCTCTACGCGTGCAACCAGCGCCAAAAGTAGTTTCCAAATTTCCTTTTCAGCTTAATTAATCACTTAATTATTAGGAGCCTAATTGTTCATTGACGCAATCCTCTATCAATCGCCTGTTTTTCAGATAAGGGAAACCCTTTCCCCGTACTCCCCGTCCGTGAATAAATAAATTATTAGAGTTGGCTTAAGTTAAACTTTTAAGTTTTGATCAAATTTATAGGTAAGCCTATCAAGATTTATGATATTAAATTAGTATTATTAGATATATTATATTAATATCGTTAGATATATTATAAAATATATTTTTATAATATGTTTATTTTATGTCTATATGTTGTTACTGTTCTCTATAAAGTTAGGCAAACCTAAGATTGTTTGACTTGCACGGATTACAAAAATTAATTTATTTAGAGATAGAGGGAGTAAAACATAGTTTCAGCCTCTGCAATGAGTCGATATACGTGGCCATAAAAAAGGTGCTTGGTAATCCACATCAGCTTGTAAGGGCACTCCTAATCCAGAAACCACCATAGTTTCTATGGATATTAATTATACTGTCACATAAGCGTTTTCCTGATGTGACGAGGTAGTTATTGAAGAGAGAGAGAGCAAAAATCATAGAAACCAGGTCTAAGTTAGAAACCATGTCTATACGAGAACCAAGACATTAAGGGATGTGATTGGTAAAGAATGGAGAGAGAATATATGTGATTGAATAAAAAAATGTTCTATAGAAACTATCCATTAGAACCATGGTTTCTATATGTAGTGTCTATGGTAATTAATAGATATAGAAACTATCTAGCATTGGGACTGTCCTAATCACCCTACACCTGGTATAATGACCATGTTTGGTAAGTTGTGGGGATAAGCACGACTTATTCCTAAGAAGCTACATAAATGTAAATACAGGTAATGAAAGCGGTGTCAAAATAAACATGTCATTTGGCTAGTTTCACCTTTTATTTTAGCCATAATTAGCTTATAAGTTGTTCCAAACAGACCCAATGATACATGAAACATAGTAATAAAACACAAAACAAGAGTATCAGGCCAACTTAAGTAGTACACGATCCTAAAATAGGCCTCATTGTTAGATATGTATATATTTAGGAGTCTAATTGTAAATGTACTGATGGCCTTGTCGCTATATATACGAAAATTTACCCCTCCCTAATGGATGTCAGGTGTTCTACTATCTCCTATCTTTCTACATGGTATCAGCCGCCTAGGTTCTCTTTCTGCCTCTTCTGCGGTCCCTCTCCTCCACCGCGTCGACGACCCCGACTGCGTGTCCTCTACTCTAATCTCTCTCCCGCGCCGCCGATTCCACAGCCGCGCATCCACCTCACCTCGCGACGTCGTCTACGATCTCTACTCTCCTGTGCCGTCGTTCCTCGACCACGCCAACACCGATCTTCCTCTGCTTCCCTATGCGCAGCCACCTGCTGCGCACGGTTGTCATCTCCTCCGCACGGCCGTCTCCTCGCGCCACCCAGGCCCGTGCGACTCTTTGCACGACTGTCTCGGTGCGCGCGTTCTCTCCCCTTTGCGCCCGCGTGCTTTCCGCTTGCTCACATGCATCTCCGCCCCGCGCCGCGAGATCCTCTTCACGCATGACCCGGTCCGCTCCTCCTTCGCGTCACGCCCGCACCGTGCGGATCACGCGTGCATGTCCCCTGCTCTCCTCCATCCCCTGCGCATCCTCCATCTAGCCGCTGGACCCACTCACGCGTCTTCAGCTCCCCTCACGCGCGGCCGCTCCTTCACGTGCGGCACTTGCGCGCCGTTTTGCCCTCCCTGTCCTCTGCATGACTGTGCCTAACCACACGGCGCCTTCCCTCCGCTGCTCGAATCCTATGTGCGACCCGTTCCCAGCCACTCTTCGTCTTCTCCCACGTGCTGGCCTACGCACGCCTCTTCTGCATCGCGCGCTGCTGACTCCTTCCCAACCGCGCATCCCCCGTGAGCCACGCACATCCTTTGCTCTGCTCGCGTCCCACTTCCCCGCGCTCCCATGTTTGCTTCCCTCCTTCCTTTGCTCCACGTGTGCAATCTACTCGCGCGTACTCCCTGCTCTCCCCATCTGTCTTCTCTGCTCTTTAATGTCAACCACTCCTTCTACCTCTGGTCCTCTGCCTCCCCAGCAGTTGCGGCACCCGACCTGGGGCGGCCACGGCATTCTTGGGCCAGCTTCGTAGACTCTTGCGACCTTCATGCCCACACAGGTTCATCATCCGCTGTGTACCCCACAACAGGTTGGCCCCCCATCGTTCGAAGCCTCTCCGGATGCTCACACTTGGGTGCTCGACACTGGTGCTACATTGCATATGTCCTCCTCGGATGGTATACTACTCACTCGTCTCCTCCCTCTTCTCCCTATATAATTGTGGGAATGACCAATCCATTCTCATCCTCAGTCGTGGCACTTCCACACTTCCCACAACCGATGCATCCTTTTCTCTTAACAATTTTCTTGTTGCCCCTGCTCTAGTACGCAACCTCCTTTCGGTTCGTCAATTCACCCGCGACAACCATTGTTCAGTCGAGTTTGATGCTCTTGGCTTCTCCATTAAAAACCTCCACACTAGGCAAGTGATCCATCGCTGCAACAGTGACGGTGACCTATACACTTTCCCAACTATGCCTGTCCCTACCACTTCTGTAGGGTCGAGATGGCGGACTAGAGGTGGGGGGGTGAATAGACCTTTCAAAAAATAATCATGCCGGCTAACCGAAACAAAATGTGGAATTAAAACTAGCGGTCTAGCCATGACTACACTCCTCTATCTAAGTTTTCAAGCACCTTAGAAAAGATACTAATCAAGTTACTATGGTGCCGGGCTAGCTAGAGGTCACCTAATCAATTCTAGGAGTAAAGTCACACAAACCTATGCAACTAGTACTTCAAGCACGGGGGAGATCCTACACAACTAGTATGCAAAATCACAAAGCCTAAGCTCACTAGCAATGCTCAACAACAAGGCAACTAATGCCAAATTAGAGAGCTCAAATTACTTAGCTACATAAACTAAGAAATGTAACTAACAAGGTTACTAAAACCAAATTAGTTACGCAAGGGTGCTACTTCTATGCTACACAAGCAAGATACACAAGCTAACTAATTACAAGGGCAACTATACAAGCACAATATGTATGAAAATAAATACAAGCTTGTGTTGGAGAATTGCAAGAAGATGACATAGTGATTTTTATCCCGAGGTTCACTTGGTTTTCCACCAAGCTAGTCTCCATTGAGACAAGGTCCAAGCAGGTTGCCGCCAGTCCTCTTGCTAGTGGTACCCGCAAGTCACACACTCCCATGTGGAGTGCTTACCACAAACTCTAGCACTTGACCCGGCCAGACCACTTGTCGCTCTTCACGTCTCGCTCTACTAGAGCAACTCTTCACGGCTCTCGCGGGGCGAGCACAACACCCCTCACAATCTTCTCTGGAGCACCGCACAAGCTTCCTTGCGTGCTTCGACACAGATCATGCCACCAAGCTGTCTAGGAGGTGGCAACCTCCAAGAGTAACAAGCACCACCGGCTTGTAACTCGAACACCTAGTGCCACTCTATGCAATCTCACAATGCAATTGCACTAGAATCACTCACTCGCAATTGATTCGCACTTTTGCAAGCACAAGTGAGTTAGAGGGCTCCCAAGAACTCCTACACAAGCCACCAAGGCTCAAGGGTGCTTAGCCACCAGTCCAGGGCTGACTAGTGCTTGGTTTTATAGCCCCCAAGCAAATAGAGCCGTTGTACCCCTTCATAGGGCACTCTGCGATGCGATAGGACTCGCTGTTATAATCGACCAAACTCGCCTGTACCAGAGTCTGGTCGCTAGGATCTCACCACATGTCCATCACGTTCGAAATCGATCATTGCCAGCCAACGACAAGTTCATGCGTGGGCCCGCACAACACTAACCGAACGTGCCTCTTCAAAGTGACTAGACTCTATGCCACTGGGTCCGGTTAGGAAACAGAGAATTCTAGAACGTCAAAAACACGACTGGACACGTCCTATCGATGATGACCGGACTCGCTGCCGGGTTCGGTCGCCTTCTGTGCTCTTCTGCTCAACTAACTAGACTCTGCTTTCTCCTGTGACTATACTCAACTCTCTCAGCATCCGGTCACTTCCAGAGAGGTTCTAGACATGACCGGACACGTCCTGTCACAACTGACCGGACTCTGCCAGCGTTCGGTCGCAGTGTCCTGTCATAGAGTGGTCATCACTAGAACGACTATAACTCTTAGCTTCGATGATCTTGGACATTTTGTAAAGCTTATGCAGAGGGCTACACATCCCATATGCACATTTGATCCAAAGCACAATGGAAAAACACATAATTCTAATCCAAGAACCATCACTTCTCTTTTTCAACTCAAGTTTCTCCAAAACTTCTCCAACATCTTCTTCTTTGCAAATGTGCCAACACCACCACGTGTATGTGTGTTAGCATTTTCACAAAAATATTCAAGGAGTTAATCACTCAATTCACCACACCACTCGATCCTAGCAACAATGCAAAGTTAGATCACTCAAGTGGCACTAGATGACCAATATGCAAACAAGTTTGCCCCTCTTGATAGTATGACCATCTATCCTAAATCCAATCATAAACTTCTCTACACACCTATGACTGGTGAAATGAAATGCCCTACAAATATACCTTTGCCTTCCATATTCCATTCCATCTCCTCCGGTGTTGATTCAACACATGCACCGACCATATCACAAATGATATAATCCACTTCATATCATCACGTGACCTTATTGGTTCATCGATCTTGACCTCACTTGCTTTTCACCAGTGCCTTCGTTCATTGGCACCAAGTCTTGCTCAGGCTT